GCCTGGGTGACAAGAGTGAGACACCGTTTCAAAACAAACAAACAAACAAACAAACAAACAAAGGTTCTTTGAGGTCTTCAGTGATTGTTAAGAGTATAAAGCATTCTTGAAAGCAAAAGGTTTGAGAACTGCTGTTCAAATGAAATAAATGTTTATTGTAATTGTTCAGTAGATAGCAGTTATTCTTATATTTATATGTGTATCACAACTCCTAGTTGGAATACAGATAGATATCGGCCAGTCCAAAGTTTTTCATTTATTGAACTGTTTCTGGTGCTGGCTTTACAACTTGAGTCAGAATCAAATTGTCCTGTAATGCAGGAACAAAAGAAAGCTGACCTTTCCCTCTGTGGATCTCAATTCCTGTTCCAAATACTAGCCTAAAATAAATTGACCTGTTTCTTTGGTTCAGTTGTATATGTGGGCTTTGCACGCTTGGTTTTAAGTAATCGAATATCTAATCCAATGGAAATGTCTGTTGGAAGTATAGGGTTAATTACTGATATATTTTGCCCTACTTCACAAGTAAAAATTAAATATCAGAAAAATATAACTTGAATTCACTGTTTTGAAACTAATAGCAACAAGCTTGTGATATTTGAATGTTAGGATTTCCTAATCAGATCTGATTGTTAGGTGAAAAGGTAACCTTTCAGCCATAGAGATGTTCTTTGCTTAAATTTACAAGAGGAATAGTCCTACTATAAATAGTCCAGCTGACATTTAAATACCTGACATAAGAAACTAACACATTTTTTTGTCTTGCCAAAAAGAGCAACTCAAAATAGAGGTCACATGTATAATACAGCTTCCATTCAGTAATGAAAGGCTCAGCTATAGAAGCTGTTATACTTGGCCATTTATTTGGCAGTCTTAACATTTTTATTTATTTATTTGTTTGTCTGTTTGTTTGTTTTTGGAGATGGAAGTCTCGCTGTGTCACCCAGGCTGGAGTCCAGTGGCATGATCTCAGCTCACTGAAACCTCTGCCTCCAGGGTTCAAGTGATTTTTCTGCCTCAACCTCCCAAGTAGCTGGGACTATAGGTGCACACCACCATGCCTGGCTAATTTTTGTATTTTTAGTAGAGAGAGAGTTTCACCATGCTGGCCAGACTGGTCTCGAACTCCTGAGCTCGTGATCTGCCCACCTCGGCCTCCCAAAGTGCTGGAATTACAGGCGTGAGCCATTGTGCCCCATCTTTTTTTTTGTTTGTTTTTAAAGAGACAGGTTTTTGCTTTGTTGCCCAGGCTGGAGTGCAGTGGCATGATCATAGCTCACTGCAGACTTGACCTCCCAGGCTCAAGCAGTCCTCCTGTCTCAGTCTCCCAAGCAGCTGAGACTACAGGTGTGCACCACCACACCCAGCTAATGTATTTATTTATTATTTTTTATTTATTTTTGTTTTTGAGACAGGGTCTCACTCTGTCGCCCAGGCCGGAGTACAGTGGCGCAATCTCTCACCTCACTGCAACCTCCGCCTCCCTGGCTCAAGTGACCCTCCCACCTCAGCCTCCTGAGTAACTAGGACTACAGGTGGGCACTACCATGCCCAGCCAATTTTTGTATTTTTCTGTAGAGATGAGATTTCTCCATGTTGCCCAGGCTGGTCTTGAACTCCTGACCTCAGACGACTGTCTTGGCTTCTCAAAGTGCTGCGATTGCAGGTGTGAGCCACCATACCCAGCTGACCAAGTTTTAGTAACATTAAAAACATTGTCCACTAAAAGTTAATCACTTAAGGAATGCTGTTAAGTGAGATTCCTCCTCAGAGAAGAACGCTTGATCCTTAGTGAGATGAAGTGCTGGACAACCAAAGCCCTAAAGAAGCTGAGGGAGCTTAGCTTATGGATTCCTAGGGGAAGGAGCCTTCTGGACAGCAGGAATGACAGGCGCACAGGCCCTGAGTAGGTTCTTGTGTGGGATACAACTGAAATGGTTCCTAATTGGTTTTTTGTTATGCAAATAACATGGGATTGTTGTAAAAAATCAGGAAATAGAGAAAGTAGGGGGAATCATCCATAATTCTTTTACCCAGAGATAACTGTTAACATCTTGTTCTGTATCCTTACCAACTCTATAAAGCTTCTTAAGATGTCGCTTATCGGCTGGGCGTGGTAGCTCACGCCTGTAATCCGAGCACTTTGGGAGGCCGAGGCAGGCGAATCATGAGGTCAGGAGATCGAGACCATCCTGGCTGTCATGGTGAAACCCCGTCTCTACTAAAAAATAGAAAAAAATTAGCTGGGCGTGGTGGCGGGCGCCTGTGGTCCCAGCTACTCGGGAGGCTGAGGCAGGAGAATGGTGTGAACCCAGGAGGCGGAGCTTGCAGTGAGCCGAGATCACG